ACAAAGCCCCCGAGGTGACAAAGGTTTTTCACCCGGGGAATCTGTGTAGAGATGGGAGGTGGTTGGCTGCTGATAGTGATGGTACACTCTGAGAAGAAAGAAAATGACCTCTTAACTGGGTTACCATTTCAGGGCAGACAGGCTGGTTACACAGCACAGACGCCTAGTGAGAGAGGCATGTAGAGTGCCAGGAATGGAGATAGAGGGAGCAGGAGATAGATGGATGTATTAGAGTCTCTTAATGGCATGTTGATAAAAGGCCTTGGATGTGGTCTTAGATGTAAAGACCAGCTCCAGAATGTTCCATTAGAAGTGTCAGTCATCAGCGCAGAGACAAAGCAGCTCTGCTGGCCTGTAGGTGCATCCTGCAGCACTTCAGCTACAGCCGGTTGATTCAGGCTTTACAGCCAACACAGACAATAACAGTTCAACTGCCACAAGCCTGCAGACTACAGGACTGTTTTGTGTCAGAATAAACAAACAGAGCAAAGCAATAATGTGTTTGATTTGGTATTTCTTTCTCTGTCTTTCTCTCCCCCTATTTAAATGTGTGCGTGCTGCAGCACATACTGATTCTGTTGTAAATAGTTGTGCAAATGGTATTAAAGGAACAATTCATTAGCCCTGACATTAAAGTGCTAATCAATAGAGCTGCATTAAACTATTAGGGTTACACACACAGTAACACACAAACACGCTGAGGCATCCATGCACACACGCACATCTTGGCACATCTTGGGGCATATTATGCCTGATACACCTCCTGTTCTGCATCAGAAGTACAAAGTAGCCTCTTCCACAGCAGCTTGAATAGGCCTATGAATTTAATTAGAACACAGGCTGATTTGACTCAAGTCAAACACATAATCACACTAGCCTTGCAGGCACACACACACACTTAGGCTCAGTCGCTCATACACGTGCTCACAAAAAAAGGAGCTGCTGTAAATCTTTATTAAGCCCTGGTCTTATCTCTTTTGTCTTCTTGAAGCTGGCGGAGTTCATTTTGCATGCCCGGTAGCTAGTTTAAACAGCTGTTATGCAGTTATGAAAATATACTGTAATTTATCACAACATCCTCAAATTAATCAGTGAGGATCAATGAGTTTCTCCTGTTCATGCATTTATAATGTTTGAATTAAAAGAGTCTTGGATAACTTTGCAGTCTCATCACAGACTTCATAAAACAAATGAATGAAATTCACAGTTTGGACGTTGTGTCACATGGCATCTAACTGTTCTGCATCTCCTCTGTCTGTTCTTTCTATCCCCGCTCCTCGTCGTCTCCCCCTCTTTGTTCTCCTACCTCAGCAGGCTTGGCCCAGTGGCACCCAGCAGATCCTGCTGCCTCCAGCCTGGCAGCAGCTCACCCACACCTCAGTCCAGCATGCCACTGTCATCCCCGACTCCATGAGCAGCACACAGCCTCTCGCCAACTGGAGGTGAATAGCACTGCTTTCTTACTTTCATTCTCGCTTTGATGTCTGAATGTCTGTCTCATTTTAAAGCTTCAAAATCAAAGCACTTTGTAAAATCAAGTTTATACACATAATGCTAGTCTGTATTTCATGCAAGACAAACTGATTTCAAAGGTCAGCAGTGGTTTTATGGCTTCTGAAGTTCAAAATGTGCTAAAAGAAGATGGTATGGCTGATTGACTGAGGAGCCTGTACCTCCCTGACAGCTTGTCCTTAATATTCAATAAATCACAGTCTCCACGTGAGAGCAGATTTACCTCAGGGAGAGGGGATATGTGTATATGTAGAGACATCATATCGAGTACAGCCTGTCACTGTGATGACTCGATAAATTGATGGATAGATGGGAGAAGGCGATTTGCAGTGAGATAAGGAGGATGCAGGTATATAACGTGTATGTGTAGAAGGCTGCTGAGGCCGTGCGTGATCAGATTAATTTGAAGCTGTCCATCTATGACCAAACACCCCCACTGCCATCTGTCCCTCCCTTCCCACCCAGTGGCAGCTCTGTTGTCCTCTGAGAGATGATTGGGAAAGTGTCGCACTTCCTCTGCAGAGCTATTGCTCCACAGCTGCTGCCTCTGCCCTGCCTTTTTGCTCTCTTGTCCTCACTAGTTCTCTGTCTTGCCATGGTCTTCTTAAGAAAAGTCAGCTGCTGCCATCCACTGGCTTGTCTGGAAAATACTTATCATGTTGTTCATATTCCTAACCAATGTTGGCTTTAATTATCTGGATATATCATTGTATTTCTCAGTATTTCATGCTTTTCTCCTCCAGTTGCAGGTTTTTTATTGTATTAACTCAAAACAATCTATACTCCCACCCAACCAGACGCTCAGTGTGGGAGTGGCTCATGTTATGAGGCAGCCCTCAAACAACAACAACTCTTCTTCCAAAAAGAACAAACAGCATCAAATGTCTGCCAGGTACTTTATCGCTCAGGTTTACACTTTCTGTAAGTCATCACCCTGAGAACGTGATGTCTCATAGCTTTGGATTTGGGCCCCCGTCTTTGTCTTTGTATCAGGAACATGTCAGCCTATGAGGTGTCGTCCTCCCAGGCGTTGCTGTCCCCACAGCGCTCCAAGAGGGTAAAGGAGAACACGCCGCCACGTTGCGCTGTGCTACAGAATGGCTCTGCCTCCAACTGTCTGCCCCTGCAGGGCTGTGGGGGTGGTGGGTGGGGGGCTAGCGCAGCAGAGCAGGCTTCCAGCACCACCCGTGACCATCAGCACCAGCACCACGTCCCCAGACAGACCATCATCATCCCTGACACGCCCAGTCCTGCAGTCAGCATCATCACCATCAGCAGCGACACAGATGAGGAAGATGACCACAAACAAAACAGTAGGTCAGTGCTGGGTTTTCATTGATTATTGTAAGTTCAGCCGATACAGGCTAAGATATTTGTTTATCGCTGGGGTTCTCAGAGCTTGTTATTTTACTATGAATTTCTACTGATGGAGATTCGCACGCTGTTCATTGGAATGTGAATATTCACAATACATGCATCACAAGGGGCTGCAGATGTAGATCAGCCAAGTTCAAGAGAGGCTTTTGAAATAGCATGACATACTTCTGCTTTGATTTAGCAGGAGAGTTCCCACCATTGCCAGCAAAACTAAGAAGCCAGCTGTCTGTCGTCTGATGTGCTTTTATTTTGTGTTTCAAAATGGTGTATAACATAATACAGGCATTTTAAAGTGACACATCTTTGTGTTTCTGTTAGCAGATGTCTCTCTACAGTTATAAAACGAGCTACTCAATATCAGTGGTAATCTCTGGGGTCTTTTGCGTGGGTCTGTTAAATAGGTTTTGTAGCTACAAAGTCATTTGTAAAAGTAAAAACACGTCTGGCGTGATATGCTATATAAAAACACAAAGCAAGTATTCACAAGTAGGAAGTAACAGAGTTAACTACTGTCGCAGTAATAACAACAGATTTATACCCTGCAAAAACTAATCAGACATATGTTTTCACATTGATCTACATGCAGTAATAGTCATTAGGATTGATTTGGGATTCTCACTAACAGTCTCATCTCTCGTCACCTTCTGCTTTCTCCAGCTCATCTTCAAAGCAGAGGAAGAATGTCATCAGCTGCGTGACAGTCCATGATTCACCAGATTCTGACAGTTCTAGCAACAACAGTCCCTATACTGTGGAGTCTAGACCCCCAAACAACAACACCTGTGACACAAAGACCACCATACTGAACAGCTACAACAATGGGAACCCCCGCACCATCATCATCCCCCCTCTCAAAACCCAGAACAGTGAGGTGCCAAATGAGTGTGATCGCCTGATGCCAGGTAAACGATATTGGCAGGCTTTTTCCTAGCCTCAAGCATATCCCTCCCTCACATTATAGCTATTTTGTTGCTAGGTATTAAAGTTGTCACTCTAATTAACCAAAGTTGTATTTTCTTCTGAATAGATGCAATGAGCCATCAAAATTCAGCTTACAAGTTCAAATCCACCAATGGGGTGGTGTCTGGCAATAATCACGTACCAGGGGGCATGACGGGAGGCGGGTCCTACCGACAGCAGCGCTCAGGGCCACACCCCCTCCAGCAGCAGCCTCTCAATCTCAGCCAGGTATGGAAAGTTAATAATAACCATTATCAGTGTGTGAATATGACTGTAAGAGACCTCAAATGCCCAGTTGTCAATGTTTTAGGAACATTCTAAATGTTCTAAAGAAGAATTCAGCATTTTGGGAACTATTATCCACTTTCTTGTCAATAGTTAGATGGGATTTTTATTATTCTCATGCCTAGGTAGTAAATACAGAGCGACTACCTCCAGCCAGTTAGCTTAGCTTAGCACAAAGCCAGCCTGGGCCTGTCCAAAGGTAGCAGAATCAGCCTATCTGCATTTCTAAATCTCTTAACATCTCCTCCTCCAGGCCCAGCAGCACATGGTAGCCGAGAGAAATGGAGGTCATCGGCGTCAGCAGGCCTACATCACCCCCACCATCGCCACTCAGGCCCCATACTCCTTCCATCACAACAGCCCCTCTCACACAGGCAACGTACATGCGCACTTGGCTGCCACACACCTGCCTAGCCAGCCCCACCTCTACACCTACACAGCCCCTGCTGCTCTGGGCTCCACCGGCACCGTGGCTCACCTGGTGGCATCACAAGGTTCGGCACGTCACGCGGTCCAACACGGTACCTACCCACCAAGCATCGTTCACCAGGTTCCGGTCAGCATGGGCCACCGTGTGCTTCCCTCACCCACCCTACACCACACTCAGTACCAGGCCCAGTTTGCCCATCAGGCCTACATCAGCGCCTCGCCTGCCTCCACTGTCTACACTGGATACCCGCTGAGCCCCACCAAGGTCAACCAGTACCCTTACCTCTAGAGAAGACACTGACTGACACTGGAGAGCCTGACCCAGCGCTGCTGCTTCCCCCAAAACCCACCTGCCCATCCTAAACATCCTCTCCTCAACCTCAGACAACAGAGACAGAGGAACATGCAGTCCTCTTGAAACTGTCACGTATAACTTGAAGATGTAACGACAGAGAGAAAAGGAAAAAATGATTTTACTCTCTAGAGTAAATATGAAATATGGGGTTCAATTTCAGAGGGGTACAATTCAACATATTTTCTTTCAAATTTTTTTTTTTTTTTTTTTTTTTTTTTTTTTTTTTTTTTTTTTTTTTTTTTTTTTTTTTTTTTTTGCCTGAATGGGCCAGTTTTTGCTTTTTTGTCTGTTGTTTGCTTTACTTTATGAGGAAAGTAGTGTCTCATTAGTTTTATAAGGGAAGTTCAAAACAGGCCTTTTGGGACAGTGGAGGTTTTCTGGTTCATTTTCTTTTATTTTCCCTTCTTAAAATTTGGGAAGTGACTGTTGAACAGAGGTTACTGAATGGAAGTTCGGAATCCCAAGAGAATTGGGAGATGGTGAAATACGGAAACCTGCTGCTCTTCAAAGAAACAAATATTGATGGCCTTGAACTGTCTTAATATTTCCAAATCATTCATGGTGTGGGGAGAAAAGAGAGGCGACTCCCCCTACTCCACATTCTCCAGCTGAGGAGGCCTCTGGAAATATAACCAACAGAAGACAACAAACTTTTTAGTGTATTTATAGATATTTTTTGTTTTTGTTTCACCTTTATGATTCAGTTTTAGCTAGGTGTCTTAGCTGGGCCCCGTTCTTAGAATGTAGCAGTCTACACCTGTTTGTTTTAAGAAGAAAACTTTTTTCCCCGATACCAATAGATTTATTTGTTCTTCTTTTTTTCAATGTGATTGCACAAAGTGGTTATAATAACATAGGCATGTACAACGTGATTGTCTGTGTGTGCTACTGTCAGCCATGCGTGTGTAGTCCACCTCCTCAAAACCCTCTTCAGTCTTTAGTTTTTGAGCATTGTTCCCTCGTAGTGCCTTACAGATATAACAACACAGTTTACTTGGCTTGGATCCTGAAAGCCACAAGAGACTATAGCTATACTTAGAGAGACATGTTTCCCTGGTTTGACATCCTAGTTGAGGCAGTTGTAGCTCTCTTCCAGGTGTAGGCTCAGCCCTTGCTGTTTCTTGTCCTTGTTGACAGCAAACTATAGAAGATAAAGATTAATGTCAGAGTTGATATCACACTGAGCTATTTTATTGTGTGTGCATGAGATAACTTGCCCGGGTTACTTACCAAAGTCATATAAATTCTTGTTATATTTGCTCTGGATGTTAATGTAAATATGAAAATGTACAGTACAGCTGTAGCTGTAAACCTATTCCACAGTGGCACCCACAACATGGCTTTAGTTTGGAATATATTAGTTTGTTCTTTAGTCACACACAAGGGAGTTCATTCATCATGACTACAGAGCAGATCGTTAGCTCAGTTTTCATGTACAGGGAATGAGTTACATTACAACGTGTGAGACACTGTAGACGTCAATTTTTAAGGTTAAAAGCTAGTCCGAGAGAAGGGCCTGACAGAAAGTGATTGTTGCCGTGAGGGTGACTATTCGAGGCTAAAGATAGCCTGAGTGCAGCAAAGAGACAGAGTATCAAGGGTTGTTTGAGAGAGATACTGTGTAGGCACTAGTAAGGGGGCTGGTTGAAAGCATTGGGTCAGTTTAGATAGGGACAGTGGAGGGCAGGGTGAAACTCTCTATCTGAAATTGGACTAAAATGGTAGCAAGTTGGCACTGAGCAGGTTGATAGTAACACTGAGCCTGGGTGGTCGGTGGGAGCAGCACACTTGTAATTCGGACATTTCTTGTTGTCATTTGTTGCTCCAGCACAGATAATTGGTAGTTATACGTTGCGCTTGAGTTTAGGGTAACATCTCAGAGCTGCAAGAACAGAACAGACGGGGAACATCACAGCATACACCTGGAAGGGCACCTTGTGGACGATTTGTTGCCACTGTCCATTTGTCTTCGAACCAGGTACACCACAGACATCGCTACGCCAGCCAGATGGGCTACCGAACACTTAGAGAACCAATAGGGCTGTCGTTTTGTGTGTTTGCTGCTTGATTTAACAAATTTCATTTTCTTGTAGCCAATGATAAAAAAAAAAAATCTCCTCTGTTTATTTGTCTTCTTGAACATGGGCACATCAGAACTGCTGGTGGTTTTAGTGAAAGCCTTCCCCTCCTCCTTCATGGTATGCCATAGTACTTGCATTTGAAGTGATTTTAACTTAACATTATCTTGAAATTTTTTGACATGGCTGTAGTACATATTGTGTTTATTTTTAGAGATTGTTGCAATAATTCCTTTTGGATGTTTTATCAGAGTGTTTTTTTTAATTATTATTATGTGTAAGACTCATTTCAATTTTGTAACCTGGGGGTTGTTGTACAGTAATATTTAGTATTTTGTGGAGGTGGGTGCACCTGTGTATTGCAACACTGCGGATGATAGTAAGTGTTGAGTTTGATGATAATCCAATGGGGCCCTTATAGATAAATACCAGGCTTGAACACAGAGTGTTCTTTCATCCTGGTACTGGTTTCGCCCAGAACTCTTCACTCCGCGTCAGCTCCAGCATGCAAGCCTTGGGTCTTCAAAGATGTGATTACACAGTATGTCGCTGGTTACATCATTCTCTGTTCTGTTGTTGTCTCTTTATGTTATTTTATCTGCTTAATTTCCTCAAGGTCACTGGGGCCTGAGCACACATGCGCACATAAGGGAGATGATTTTCCACTGACATTTTTTGGGCTGTAAATGAGACAGACTACTGAAACATTCCACCATTTGAGGGGAAGATGGTGTTATCCATGCTACACTGCTCTCCTGCCCCCACTCTTGTCAGCACGGGGATAGCATTGTCACGCTCTGACTTTTATGCTTCTCCCACCAAAGAGTTTAATAGATCGATCATGTACAGCACAGCACAGTACAGTATACACAGTCCTACACAGCATTGCTAGAGTAGACTGGCAATAACTTCTGGTCTCTTGTTTTTAACACTTTCCAAGTGCTTTTAAGGACACCTTGTTTTACCCCCAACAAAATGCATGGGTGCATACAGTGTACAAGTACACATGCTTAATGCATTTGTTTAGAATGTGGATATTCAACTATGAGAAGAGCCACAGTGTGTTTTAAAACATATTCTGTTTTAATCGATCATTATCTAACCTCACTATAAATTGTTTTATAAGCCCTTTGTTTTTATGTTGATGTTGTAGCTTTATTGGTGGTGTAAGAAAATTAATTTGTAAAACTAAGGTTGTTTTACATTGGTGTGCCATGGAATATAATGACCTGTAAAAATGAATTAATCAAAAATGTACCAACTATACCTTTAAAACCATGGCCACCTGCACAAAATGAATGTAATGTGTGACCTGCCACATCTGAAATGGCTTTAGATCTTTCTTCGTGGTTGACCGTACATTTAATTTTTACACCGTTTGTGGCCGTACATGATGCAATAATTATACATCTGATCTCCAGCAAAATCCCAGATGAGATAGATTATGTAAAATTACTACTGTCCTCATGATTAGGGGTTATGGAATAATCACTGTTTGCTCAAATGAAACATGCAATTACATTAAGAGAAGCCCTGTGTGTGCAACATTGTGGAAAATAACTTGATGTGTATGATACCTTTGTCTGTCACTCTATTTCTCATAACCAATGTTTTGTGTTTTATTAAAAAAAAGGGGGGGGGGGGGTTCACAATGAGAGGGGGAAAGTG